ACAAAAGAGGATAACCCACTTTTGATGATGATCGTATCGCATTTTTGAATGATCATACACGCCTCCAACATCTACAACTACGTTGCATTCATCAAGCTGCTTAGAATCACGAGTCCTATGACGAATAAAAATAATCAATTATACTGTTTCAAGAAAACGACGCTGAATGTAACAAGATCAAGTAAGGTTTTAGAATGACAAAGAACTTTCAATGATGTTACCTAAGAACTTCGTAACAGGAAAATTCCGGTAACTTTTTCAACAGAAAACAAGCCAAAACCTAAAAACAACTACAGTGGATCACAGAGAAAAAGGTAATCAAATAAAGTGAAAATTGCCGGTAGCTTTCAGTTTAACAACTGAGCACTATTTTTTTCGGCATAATGGTAAATAACATAAAAACCCAAAAATAAACCTCATCGCAGTGAAAAGTGCCGTTGTGAGTCCCAATGCTACCCATCCTGACGGCAATCTGGTGATAAAAATGAGTTGTGCAAACACGGTTTAGCAACCACAGTTTTACGGTTACTAGCCAGAAACACTTAACAACGTCTTAGCACAATAAACTAAGGCCGAAATGGTTGTACAGACCAATCAGTTTAGCGCCGAATAATTTGCTTCAGCAGACTGCTAAATACCGCATTTGATAGCGATTTTGGTAATTATATTGTGCTGCAATAGGCGACTTAGAAAAAAATTGATGTTGTCCAAAACTTTGTTCTTAGTTTAATCCTCCTAATGAGCTGTTGGGTGCTTGATCTGTCTTACTTTTTTAAATTTTCTACAGTTTCTCTTGGGGTTGTTTTATTGACGGTCGACAAGAAGCTGCCGTGGGTGACAAGTTGGCCGCAAATTTGTTCTGTTACAAAATTTTCATATGAATCTTAAGACTGACAAGTCTGGACTATGTTGCTAATGGTTGCTGATGATGTGGACTAAAAAACTTTTAATTGGTCTTTGGAGTTTCTGAAAGAAATACGTAAAAAATGACTTTTTAATGGTTGACTGGTTATGTCGGCTATTTAAGTGCAGTTGAAGGGGACTGTTGAATTGAAAAGGAGTAAAATTCTTAACTGCATTTGATATCACAAACAGAGCAGAAAGCACTTTTGCAAGAAGCCACAGAACGGAATTGTTATGGCATGAAACAACATTTCTGATCACATGTCTACTATGTTTGAACATATCCAATATTACCGGTGAAGTAATTCAATAGTTTTATTGCCTTTAAACTGTGGCATTCAATTGATTGTCTGCTAAAAATGTTTCAGGCTTCTCTTCAGCAAACAAAATGTCCTCAAATGATAAAGACATGAAAAAGTTTTTGCATAACTTATGATTTCGAGAAAACGTGTATATGGGAAAGAAATATACCATCAACAATTATTTAATGAATATTGTTAATATTAGTGCTTTTTTTATGATCGAAATATCTTAATTGAGTGGTTTGTGTAATATTTGAGTTAAAATAAATTGAAATACGCGAGAACTGATTTTTATGGTATGTCCCTTAAATGCTAGATTTTTTTTTTAAGCAGAAATATTGAAAGAAACAATGTTCATTGACAAAAATTGAATCCAAATAAAAATCTGTTGGTTTCTTCAGACTGAGTTGTTTCATTTCTTACCCTTTGAAATCTCTTTTTTTATAGCGCTTTTAAATCTTTTTCAATCTTGTGACATATTTAAGTGTTTATGCTTGGGTGTGTACTGTTTTTTTTCTCCATTTGGTTCATTTTATATTATTTGTATTTTTCACCTTATTCTTTTTTTCGAGTAAGTTACATGAAATAATCAATGTTGTAAAGGAAGAAAGAAAGGAGTATTGACAACAGCATTTTTTTTTCTTGTCAAAATGAGGAAGTTGTTCTTTTTTTTGGTTTTTTTTTCACATTTTAATTTTAAAGAATGGCAATAACTAGTACTGCTGATGCCGAATAGTGACAATCTTGGCTTGCAAATGTAAATTAAAACTTCAGAACAAGTTTTTTTTTTCTGCAGAGGAAGCAGGAGGGTACGGGTAGGTTGGTTGATATACGCAATTGAACAATAAATAGGGTAAAGTTTGAGTTTTTTAAAAAAACTTGATAAAAAACCTATTTTGATTTTTTATCATGTTTTTCTTTGGAGAAAATAAATTACATACTAAAAAGTATATATCTGTGTGGCTATTGTTGAAGAGCATTTGTTGAACAGTTTAGTAAGTGGTGTAAATGACAGCAGAGCAGAGCCACTTGTCTTTTCTTTAATACTGTGAAGGTAGAGAAATTATTTAATTAAAAATTTGGAACATTGAACAAAGAATCAACTGAAACATTGTTGAAGAATAGTGTTTCAGTGATCGTTAACCAAGTTCAGTTTGTTTTCTGTTTTGTGAGCAAGAAAAAAAAACCGTATATTTGACGAGTTGAATCGTCAGAGTTACGAAAACGCAGATGACAAACTATAAGATGGTTTTTTCTACGGTTCTGTGTGGCCATTTCTGAAATGCCAGCAATAAAACATCAGAAAAGACAATTCGGTTGCGAGCTTTTTTTTACCTGATTCTGGACTACATTAATGTCACTGAAGGACAGTTTAATTGGGTCTTAGAAGTTGCCTTGGAAATTTTTTAAAAATAGATTTTGATAGCATTTTCTTTTCTGTGTTGCTTCTCTTTTCCACCGCAAAACAATTTACCGCAGTTGGAGTTCAACAAATAATTAGTTGCTTTGTTGAAGGTGTTTTTGATTACTGAAGAAAAAAAATCGATTTTATGACTAGCGATAAAGCAATTTTTGTTTTCGTTT